CAGAGTAATTCCTCGGCACACTGCTTCCAGCTATTTAAGATATTTTCCCTTGGCCCATCAGTTCAGCAGTGGGTGCCGGAAGCTGAGAGAGGACTATTTGACTATTTTCTGCCGCAGCTGGAGTAATATCGGGAGCTGTGGCACCCAAGAATTAAATTAAACTTCCAGCCTCGGTGGCCTGTGCAGGGTTGCCCAGGTGGAGGGATATAGAGGAGAGAGAGGCATGCCAAAAACTTGTGACTTCTACTTTTCTTTCATGCACAAAGAGGAGGAGACTGATGTGGCGTGGCCTGCCTTGGACTGTGTGTGACTGGTGATTTTCTATTGGCGGTCCTGCCCCGGAGACCGAGTTACCGCATTGGATCATACCATTGTGTCTCTCACACAGCATAAGAGCTTATATACACTGAATTTTGTTGCCATTATTTTCTTTTTCTCCATGCACGTCATTTGGAATGTAAAAACTGCTTGGGAGGTGAGAAGCACCTTTGATGGAACTCTAATGTCTCATACCAATTATAAATGCAAGCTGAATGCACCTTAAAATGCTTTTGACCATCGACACAAGCGTGTTCAGTGGATTTGTGCTTTACTCACTTTTAGGGCAAAGTAACTGTCACTTTAATGAAGGCTTTCCCAGCTGGATATACTTGCCTTCCTGCTCCCCTGCTGTCCCATTTAGCTGCCATGAGCGAAAGCAGAGCCCCGTGTAAGGTCCAAGTCACCGGAGTTGATAACACTGTTTGGCCCACCATTGTCGCATGCCTTTCAAAACCATAGGTTCTGGGTACTTCCTTCAGCACTGAACAGAGCAGTGGGGAACAGAAGGAGAGGTAACTATATGCTGCTGAGGATAGCAGGATCAAAGCAGATCTGTTGCGTAGAAAAGGGGGAACATGATTTACAATATGAGGCTAACATCAAGAACAGGGACATGATCTCAAACTTGCAGAAGGAACATTCAAAACAAACCTTAAAAATTATTATTTTACTGAAAGCGTTGTTGATGATTTGAATAGACTTCCCACAGAGTTGGCTCATCTAGATCTATACTCACACAAAAAGTTTTTTTTTGTTTTTTTTACGCAACCAAAAATGGGCAGACTTGATGGACCACTTAGTCTTCCTCTGCCATCACTCTTCTGCTGCCTATTCAGAAACATAAAAACCCAGATCCTGATTTCACTTTCTTCATTCTTGTTCTAGGTCAAGAACACAGAAAATATTGAAATCAGAACGTCAACATGGCATCCAAGCCTCACTAGCATTCTCATGGAGGTCAAGAAAAACATCCTATTTCTTCCAGCTCATAAGTTTTTCAAAGATCCAGTGGCCACATGATCACTGTGGTGTTAGCATACCTTTGTGCACTAGCCAAGCACTTTCCGCAGGTATCTGTAGCCCTGGCCTTGTCAATCGTAGCATTGAGACACAAAAAGCCATTCCGGCCAACTAATTCGGAGAACAGCCTGGCTCAATGTGCACAGAGCGGGGTACATTTTTTATTTTATTATTTCCCCATCCAACCAAAATCAGGTGGCGACTTTGGTGAAAGCTGTGACAACTGCGCCACGCACATTTGCATCTGTGACAAAATTGGGGTTTAGCTACGGTAGTTCTCAGAATGTCATCTGTAGGGCTTTAGGGGTTCATTTTCTAAGGCGGCGTGTTCAGCCTGACGTCAGGAGCAGACATCCTTCCCTCTCACCTTGTGTATTTATTTTATGCACAGTCACTAATGTATTAATCTTTTTAGTCGATCCTCTTTATGTAAAACATATGGGCGCTGTAATGTACAAGGAGGTTTTCTGACACCTGGATAGTGTTATTACAACTGCACTGGATGGAAAATTGGAAGCAGTTTCCTAAGGAACGTTTGCAACAGCCCTGACTTGTAATCAGTGGGTGTCTACATCGGCTGGTCGTGTCCAGCAGATGAGACAGAAGAGCAAGTGTTAGACATTCAGCGGGAGAGAAGCCAGGGTCTGATATTTTAGCATGCTGATAATTTCAGACAAGAATAATCATGCAGAATTCTCCTTGAGTACCTATCACATGCACAGCATGCAAAGACCTATGTGCAATTACATGCAGGCTATTAGTAGGGCTGACAGATCGCATGTAGACAGTGTACTCGGTGCCTTGCATAAGTGTTTCTGTTGCGGTCTATGAAACTACCCTGGCATCCTGAAGCCTGAATTATGCCACGTTAAAAAGGAAAATCTTATAGTTGAGCTTTGATTCTGCAGCCCTTAGGCTGGGTTCACACCTAGGCGTAGCTAATATGCACGTTTTGCCACACGTTTTTACCGCGATTCGCGGGGAAAAAAAACGCGCGACAAACGCGCGTTTCCGAGGGCTATCCGGCTGTATTCTAATGGATACGCGCGGCAAATACGCCCCAAAGAAGCTCCTGTACTTCTTTGGGCGTAGGGCGTTTTGCAGCTCGTTCCTACGCGCTGTAAAACGCCCAGGTGGGAACCATGCCCATAGGCAATCATTGGTTTTCACATGTTGAGCGTTTTATAGCGTGTAGGAACGCGCTGTAAAACGCCCAGGTGTGAACCAGGCCTTAGGCACGTACAGCAGCAAAGCACCATCTCTCGCACTTTGCTTTTTTATAAATATATTATTTGGCCCCTGGATAGGGCTAAAAAGACACACATATACATGCATGTGTTCAACTTAGTCTTAGGCCTGGTTCACACCTGGGCATTTTACAGCGCGTTCCTACGCGCTGTAAAACGCTCAACATGTGAAAACCAATAATTGTCTATGGTCATGGTTGCCACCTGGGCATTTTACAGCGCGTAGGAACGCGCTGAAAAACGCCCTACGCCCAAAGAAGTACAGGAGCTTCTTTGGGGCGTTTTTCCGTGCGTTTCCATTAGTATTCCTCAGTGTGGATCAGGGGTTAACAAAGCGGTAACCCCGAGCCACACTTGGGAGTACAGCGTACAGGTCTTACCTTGTCCGCGATCCCTGCTGTGTCCTCCAGCGGCTGCCGACTTCCGGTTTCCGTCCCTTGCGAGCGGCCGCGTCGCAGGGGGGCGGAGCCGGCAGGAAGTTTAAAAGTAAAATATATATATATATATATATATTTATTTTTTTTTTAAAATAGAGAAAATAAGGGGGAAAAAATCATACCGCCAGTGAAACGCGCGTTTTACTGAACAGAAAAACGAGCTGAAAAAATACGCTCAGGTGTGAACCCAGCCTTATTCTGTAACTGTTTCATGTGTTACATCTGTATAGTTGCTTACGTACAGGTCCTCTTAGGCTACCTAAGCCTGAAGTCATGTAGCTTCTTCCTGCCTGCACTGATTCTTGTCTGTGCTTCTCTATACATACGCATTATACCAATTGCCCTTTTATTACAAAGAAAATAAAAAAAACACTGGACTTTATTTATGGAAATGTTGAATTATATATCTTATACCATCCAATCATCTTTAAACCTAAACTAGGAAAAATCAGATGACGACAATGTGAACTCAATTGGTTGCTTGGAAACACACTTCCTCTGATTTAGGGGCTTTCTGGATGACTTACTGGAAATGTGCACAGTGCCAGTGAAGTCAGAACAAGTTAGATCACATCGCTTGACAGTGACTCTGGAAATATGGAAGCCATTAGATCAGCCACGGGAGGGCAGAAATGGTGGCCTTCATATTTCTGCTGGGTCATGTTTCTACTAAAGCCAAACTCTACCTTGGACAAACACAAACTTTAATAGGATATTTTAACAAATCAAAAGCAGCTTGGAGTGCTATACTCACCCAGTCTTTGGAGCTGTCATCTGCAGACTCGCCAATCCAGCACCGTTCCTCATCCAAGTTGAGCAGTGCCCAGCGTCATTCATGCCACTTCCTGTAAGTCCAGGGTGTCAAGGCTCTATTTCTGCCTGGACTCACAGGAGAATGCTGCAGTAATGATATGCTTCATAGAGCAAAATGCATTTGAAAAGAGGACTTGTAAGCCATAAAACTCAGTCCATGTAGCAATTTCGCAAATCAGCAAATCAGATCAGTAGCAACAAGTTACAGTGCATATTCCTCCATAAAGAAAAGCAGCGTTTCTAACCACCAAACAGACTCCTTTTCAAGCATGGAAAATTAATTTTTGCTGATTTGCTTTGCACTTGGATCACTGTGTGGACTGAATATAATGTCTTTTGGTCTATTGGAGAAATGTTTGCCTAAGGCTAGGTTCACATATCGGCGATCCCGGGACGGCACGATCGTGCATTATTGCCGCATGGCCCCATTGATTTCAATGGGGTTATATCCGCGCGGCAATCGCTGAAAAAAGGTACATGTACCTCCTTTTGCGACACGCACCGCGCAGTTTCTTCAACCGCGATCATGCTCGATTGCACAGCCGGTATAGCGGCGGGAAACCACGCAATCTGCCTGGCGCGCCTGGAGTGCCATTAGAAAATAAAGGCACTGCCAGCGCGATCGGCGGTGGTGTGCGATTCCCTGACCGCGTGGCCATCCGCACGGTTTTGTGCATGATGGCCACGCCGTCACTGATCGCCCTAGTGTGAACCTAGTCTAAGTCATGCCATTAGGCTGTTGTCTGTTAGCCTGAGGCATTTGATAAGATGTGGATTGGAGTGTGCTTCATTAGATAATATAATAGTAATAATGTCTCCACTCCACTCCTTACCGATGGATCCCTTCGTGTAGATTACTCGGGTGCTGTACAACCGGTGGATGGCACCACAACATGTACTGTGAAATATGATGACGGCACACCATTCAGCTTAAGAATGTCGTCTTTATTAATGTTCTTGGAGCATAATGTGAAAAATGCAACCTTTCGGAATCCAGTGGCAATGCGGCATGGGACTTGTAGTTCAATAACTAATGGAGTGCTGACATTGCTTACCCTTATGTGATCAGTTTAAATGCTGATAGTTATTAGTGGAGTTCTATGTTGCATTCGATACATTACAGTATGACTAATTAAATCTCCTTCTTATTTTTTGTTTGCAGACATGGAAGAGTTGTTAGTAGAGCTGCGCTTGTTTCTACAACTATTGGACCATGAATATCTGACTACCACTGTTAAGGAGAAGAAGACTGTGATAAGCAACATACTGCAGAGGATACAGTTATCCAAAGGTTAGTCAAACAGGCCAAGGGAAGCTTGCGCCATAGTAAACCCAGCAGGCCTCCAGTACCGCTGATTAAGTGAGGCGGCCAGTGTGTTATGACAGCTATGTACAGTTCATATTAATGTCATCACCAGGATACATCAGCAGATAGTTTCACTTCATAACTTGAGCACAGCAGTTGGAAATTTGAGAATTGTTTTTATTTAAAAAAAACAAACTGTTAAAGACCAACTCAATATAGGGCTTGTTGTAGTCCTACTTTAAAGCAAACCTGACTTCCCCATGCAGGGCAAAGCAACAGGTTATCTTTGATGGCAGTCCCACCGGCTCTTACATTTATCTTCTCTACACTCCCCCACTTCGTCAATTGGCTGGGAGAAAATTAAGAAAATACCTTAAACTTCCAGGTATAGGCAATCATGTGTAGTAGGTTTATGGAATTTTGAGTGCATATAATGTTTTAGTATCTCCTTAGTTTCAATGCTTTCAAACTTGGCCATATTCACAGGGATGTGACATTTATAACTTGACTTGGAGGTAGCATTTTTAGTGCTATTTCATTCAGTAATAAGCCTTGGTATGCTTATGCTACCCAGGATCCTCCTCTGCAGCACACATGGTAGAGGCCAAGCATCTCCTATTAGCCTGTTCAAGGAAGCTAAATTGAAGCAACCTATACCAACCAATCAGAATTCATTTTTTAGTGATCTTCAGTAAATTGACATCTGATTGATTGCTGTGGTTCCTTGCAATTAGCAGATCAGTTTGGGTATTTGCACTGCAAGAGCTCGATAGTGGCTCTGCCCGGTGTATTTCTGCCCCAGTGCGGCATTCTTTTGGATTGGGAGGGAGCATTATGCCAAATAGAATTTCCACCCACTTGCTCTTATGGTTTTGCTTTAGTTGCCCCTAGTATTGTTTTGCTACTTATGTGTTGAATTATTCTTCTTTTGATCAGAATTTGAGGTGAAGAATCATGTTCACAAAGCTGAGACGTTGAGCAGTGTGCCGGCCCCGCCGCAAATGCCTCTTCCTGAAATCCCCCAACAATGGCTGGTGAGTGTTCTGCTGATTCACGGTCAGGGCAAACATTTAAGGGCTTATTAACAGGCTTTAAGAATATAATCGTTCGATTCTTGCAATGCCCAGTGCCCAGCGGATAGATCGAGTGGAGACAATAACACAGAGCATGGAGTCCTGTCCGTACAGCTTGGTACAATATCTGTTTGCTCAACTTTTTCTTGGAAAGCGAAAGTAACTAGAAACGGTTCCAACGTTCACTGAATGCTGAGCCAGTCGGGGGCTGAGCCAGGCTCAGCAAGAGGGTGGGAGACGCACAATGTGCAACACAATATTTTATTAACTGATTTCATCTTTGGCGTACAGGCTTGGCAGCCTGTGCACTTATTCTGTTATCATGATTTGTCTTGTGTGTGCTTGCCCTAATGAGTGGGATAAAGGCTAAAAAAAAAAGGTTGAAGTTACTATATAGGCTGCGTTGGTGGTGGCTGGAGTGGTAGCGCCTTCACACACAAAACAGGGTTGTTCAAATGGAATGTGTCTTTGGATTTTATATTCTTTCTTTCGTATAATGGGTCCTAAAAATAATAAAACATTTTAAAAACCTTTTTAACCAAGCAAATATGAAATTATTAAAGTGAAACTGAGTCACCTGTACTGTCTGTGGTCTCCCTGTAGACCACAGGTCTCCCTAGTCTCTCTGCAGCTCATCTTTTCCCCAAACTGAGTATTTGAAACATCTATAAATGTTAATTGTGTCTAAGCAGTCCCCTGAAAAATGTATCTTTTGTCTGAAATTCCTATTGCAAAATAGCAGTGCAAGTAATGGTATGTGATGGTACTTAGGTGCTTCAGTGCCCACAACCTCATAGCTGTATACCTGCAGTGTAAGATTTATGGCACTGCTGCCTCTGACTTCTGATCTTATGAGAATTGGAGTAAGATTTAGTGGTGTCAGTGCCATGCTATTTAATGTTCTCAGTGCTGGACACTCTGACATGAGGAAGCAAAGTCCTGCTTCCACCAAGATGGTCACCTTCACACAGAGACACAGTGCAGTATGAAGCATAAGTCAGTAATGGGGAAGAGATGAGTTATGGGTAAACCACAGACAATACAGGTGACTGACCCTTTATCTCCTTTCTGTCTGCCCTCTAGATGCCAAAAACTGTTGTCAAATATAGTTTATTTGAGCAAAAGAAGCTGTCTATGTTGCAACCCCTATCTATCTATCTATCTATCTATCTATCTATCTATCTATCTATCTATCTATCTATCTATCTATCTATCTATCTATCCAGATCAATTAATTGCAGGGTGCCTGCTAATAGGTTCCCCAAAGCAAACAGGGAGTGCTTGTACTTTTTTAGTGTTCTGTGAGCAGCCAGCCTTTTCACCTAGCAGCTTCCACAGCAGAGATAGCAAAAGAGAGAGAGCATCATACAGCTCAAATGTATAAAGGGCTGTGGACAGCTGAGAGTAGTAATGACATCTGGCTACCAGGTAAGATGTGGATCTTGAAACTGAGACTTTATCCCACCCAAAACTCTACAAAACCTCTTCCAGGACATAGAACATAACTCGTTGAGATTCTGTGAAAATGAATAGTCATAAACCCTGGAGCCCCCTGTGTAGGTGAGAAACCAGGGTGACACATATATACAGTCCGCAATCTTGCCAGCCAGTGCCTCTAGCTGTGTAGAGAGAGAGAGAGAGGAAAAATAAAATAAGAACTGGATTATGTTTGGCCAAAAATCCTGCAAAAACACAACACGTGAGCAGTATTGAGGATGTCATTGCCGGGAGCAAGTAGACAGTAGAGCTGCAACAACGATTCGATTTAGTCGATTAAAATCGACGATCGAAAACATTGTCAACGTTTTTGATCGTCGATTAGTCGGCTCTCTATTACATTGCCTGTTCGCGGCTCCACACTCAAGCCACGCCCACCGAACGCGCACGCCGTGGTCCAGCCCCCGGCTCTTCTCCAATCCCGGCGCTCCTCACATCTAGCCGGGCCGGTGTGATCGCATGACAGGTGCCGGGGATGTGAGCGCAATGGGTGTCAGCCGGGGGACGGAGACTGGCTGGGGACGAGCTGGCATCCAGGCTGAACCGTTCAGCAGAAAGACATGGAGGGACTGTTCAGACAGTAAGTGTCCCGAGCACCCCGGAGCCTGGGACCCGACACCGTGCACCCCAATCCACTATCATACCTGTCCTCTACACCCCATTCCACCATAATACCCATCCTCTGCACCCTATTCCACTATCATACACATCCTCTCCATCCCTGCGCTCCAACCCACCATCATACCTGTCCTCAGCACCTCATCCCACCATCATACCTGTCCTCTGCACCCCATTCCACCATCATACCCATCCTCTGCACCCCAACCCACCATTATACCTGTCCTCTGCACCCCAACCCACCATTATACCTGTCCTCTGCACCCCATTCCACTATCATACCCATCCTCTCCATCCCTGCACTCCATTCCATCATCATACCCATCCTCTGCACCCAACCCACCATTATACCTGTCCTCTGCACCCCAACCCACCATTATACCTGTCCTCTGCACCCCATTCTACCTTCAGATCCATCCTCTGCACCCTTTTCCACCATCATACCCATCCTCTGCACCCCATTCCACCATCATACCTGTCCTCTCCTTCCCTGCACTCCATTCCATCATCATACCCGTCCTCTGCACCCCATTCCTGCATCATACCCGTCCTCTCTATTCCTGCATCATACCCGTCCTCTCTATGAAAATAATCGTTAGCTGCAGCCCTAGTAGACAGATTAGAAAGTCAGAGTGAAGTTCAGGGTTGGCGACAGATTCCAAGCCCTTGGATTGACATGAAAGCGAGGAAAGCATTTTTCAGGACAGGTGACTTTAAAAATGAGACTATGCTAGCAGTGAATAGGAAGTATGTAGGAATCCTGGAACACACTGTCTTGTTTATGGAAATAAAATTGCATTCAGCCAAAGTGACTTCTAATACAGACTTGGAAAGAATGAACTGCATGTTATAGGATTTCTCATTTACACTGTTGACACATGTCACTCTGTAGACTGTATAGTGTATTCATGGCCCCCTTTTACCCCCAGTGTTCTAAATACATATATTAATATACAGAGTTTTAATCAAATACTTCCCCTAGTGGTCACCTGTATGCCAACTGTCAGCATCCTTGCTAAGTGACTGCTGCAGGAATATCAATTAGGGAATATTGTTATCATTGAAAGCTAACAGTTTGCAAACACTGGAACTCTGTGTATGGGGGATTTTCCCATCCCATCTGTTGCACCTTTATTGATTTAAACTAATTTTCGTGGCCAGCTAAATAATGCTCATGTCAAGTGAAAATGCAAGTTCTTTCTTTGCCTATTTACTCATTCTTGCAATGGATTTTTCAGCTCCTGCTAATACTTTCATTTGCTATCACTTCTGAAAACAGTAGTTGCCTGACTGTCACACTGCACCTCTGGCTGTGTGAATCACTGACCTGGAACAAGAGTGCAAATCAAGACTGCTGACTTCACTTGTTGAGTGCTTGTTCTGAGTCAGGGACTCAAACGGTATTAAAGCCAGAGACTATGAGGCAACTTCCACCTTCAGAAGGAGGTCAGCAATGGCAGCCAACATTTTGGAGCAGGTTTCCTTTAATAGCATATAGAAAACACATGCACACACAGCAGAAAAATGTACGCCTTTGTGTGTGGTTGTATGCTAAAAATTTCCTAAGAGTGAACATACATAACTGCTGGCCTACTTGGCAGTGCTTGTGCTGTCTGATAGCTTACAGCAGGCATCCGGCATTGTGGAAATCCCTATTCCTTATGGTTTACATTGCACTGCACCTCAAAGAACATCCCAAATCAATGGCAAGTTCTTCATTGAACTGTTCTCTTTGTCTTTCCTTTGTTGAATAGTAGAGTCAGAATGGTTGATAAAATTTAACTTTACCCACCATAGGATTAGAACCTGAAGAGACTGGGTAATTTATTATTCATCTATTGATTGTGTTCATTTATTAGATGTCAACAAAAGGCACAGTGCTTTGCAGAGTACATAGAGCATTTGAGACTACCTTCATTAGAGCTTGTCCTTATATCTTTATTGGGTTATGTAGGGCAGAACAAATTCTGGTCTTTAGGGGAAAATGCCCCTAGGGTGTCCTGCCTGTGGCTAGCTAGTGGAAAGGCAGATGGACACAGTAGCAAGGGGTGGGGGCGCCCAGCCATTTACACATTGTCAGAATCCATGACCAATTAAGGTCCAGTGGTAGCTGCATGATTGATATTTAGTGGGCAACATATTCAGGGGTTAATTAGGTTTGCAAAGCTGTTTCCTGTCAATGGCAAGGGGAATGGAGAAACCTGTATCCAGGGTTGAGGGGGAAGTGGTAAACTTTCACCTGGAACTGAAGAATGAGCAGGTCTGTGCATAGGCCTAGTCAATCAAGGATGGGTTAACTTCTTTTCAGAGATGCAGTTAGGGATCCTGGTTCTGCCCAGTAGGGTTCTACTAATTCTGCTGGTTACTGGCTGGTAGTCAGTTACATATGCAGGATAGACACCATTATGGTAACAATGAAGGCAAAGACAAAGTACATAAGTGGAGCCATAGACTTGGGGTAAATTGGTGGAGGGGAAGCCCTTGGTTTAAACTGATGTTAGGTTTATAGGACACCCATTTGGTGTTGTGTAAAGCTGAAGAGGCCATTGCACTCATCACAACAGCCATGGAAGTATTTAGGGTACATAGCCAGATTTTTTGTCATATAATAACTTTTTCAATTTATCCCTAATGTTTGGGTTTTGTTTGTGATAAACGTTTAATGACTTGGAAGGCGGTGTTGTATATTTGCATTGGAACAAACAGAGCAGTACTGACTTGGATTTACATTGATGCATTCTCCATGCATCACATTGTGCTGAGTTTTTGTAAATTGTAATATAAATACTTCTATTCGTTTATACAAGTGATACAGTGAGAACATATGATAAATGTATCTCTCATACATCTCAAATCCAAGCTGTTTTCCTGGAAACACTTAAGAATGTCTGTGACCTGCTTCTGAGGCTGATATCTTGACCCTAATTCCATCGTACAGACACGCACACTGTACGATGGGTTTTGGATGGTAGCCAACTAAGCTATCAGTATTGTGAATTATGGGAGGAAACCTAAATAGGAGGAGGAAGCACAAAAGCAGACAAGATAGAAACAAGAACCTCAATGCTGCAAAACAAGTTATATTACTTTGGTGGCTTGCTACATACTTATCAATAGTGGAGCCACCAAAACAATGGATCGATGAGCTGCAAATATCTGTCAGGGTAACAAGAAACCAGACAGAATCTTAAAGTGCAGGTTTAAAAATAAAAGACGTTTATTGTAAATAACAACACACATAAATGCAAAAAGCAATGGAGAAAGTCTAGGACGTCATCAGTGCCAAGCTAGAGGTCAGATGCCAAAGAGGGTTGTAAGCCCAACCAGGTCAGGGAACACTGAGAGCAGACTGAATGTAAACAATAGCCGGAGTCAGGAACCAGGAGATCAGTCAGCCAGAGCCAGGGGTCATACATGGAGAACAGGAATAACTGTAGAGCACTTGGTAGATCTGAACACACGCAAGGGCGGAGACTAAATGGACAAGCTGAGGGTTAAATAATGAACTTGTGTTGCATCATCACTCTGACACAGGAATTTGTCAGGAGTTTGTTATAGTTGCAGAATGATGATGTTTACAGGTTTAGTCATAAGAGAGTGCTAAGGAGGAACGAGCAGTGTCAAACACACTGCACACAAGGCATGCTGCAGCTCAACTGGAGCAGGAAGGGTAAGAAATCCTGACAATATCCAAACTGACATGGACCTCTGTTGTAAAATATTACAGGCATCCCTGTATAATTTGTTTCTGCTGTCCTCAGTGTTTTATTTGGTAACCCACTCCTGTCTTTTCCCATGATATAAATTCTCACGGGTGTCTTCTTAATGTAACTGAAGCAAATCTACTTTCAGCGCCCATGTCTGTGAGGTCTAAATGCGCAAATGATGCTCTGTGTTAATAGCCCAGCCAGAAAAGGAGAAGGTGCGATCCAGGGATTCACACAAGGCTGCTGACAGCAAACATTAGCCAGCCAAATGGGCTTTCATTTCTGGATAGGAAATAGAAGAAAAGTGGTACAGCATTTGCTGATGATGAAAAAAGGATTTTGCATGACCTTTTCATTTATTGAAGGAAAACCCCGAAAAATATTATTCTTGCAAAGTACCAATGCAGGTGCAGCTTTTTTTTTCCAAACAGCTATGCAGCTGTTAAAGAATAGCAGTGCATTTGGTACTGTTATCCTTGAAAGTATCCCCTTACCCAATGAACCTGTATGTGGTGGCTTCTCCTACTCAGCTGTCAGACTTGCTAATGGGCTGGCAGCGTGGAGAGGAACCCACTGGCAGGAAGTGGCCTGAAAGTCCGAGAGCAAGGTACAAAAAGGGGAATCCAAGGGGGTAGTAAATGCCCAATCCGGGTCGAGGCGGGCATCAGAGGTTCAGAAGCAAAAATCAGTCCAAGGGGTCAGCAACAGGAAGTGCAGATAAGGGGTCAGGGAGCAACAGCAAGATTCACAGATAGAGGGGCTAGGCGATCACACCATAGGGTGGAATAACTCGGCAACAAGCCAGGGCTCTGACCAGGATTTTATAGCCAGGGGATGTAAGACCACCCCCTGGTTACCGGGGCACCCGGGGGGCTTCCCTCCCCAGGAACCAATGGCAGGCGAGAGTGGTGAAAGGTGCGTGCTGGGAACCTCCCCCAGCAAGGCCCACACCTGATAGTCCTAATGGGCGCAGGCGCGCTATGCACGCGCCCCCGGGCACGTGCGCGCAGCCTATGTACCGTGCACGTCCGCCGCGCATTTGCACCTGAAACCCCGGCACCAGGAGTTCTACCAGGCTGGATGAGACCCTGTTCCCTGCACTGTACACGTTGGCCCCGAGGAGAGGGAACACCCCTGGTCTCCTGACATCAGCATGCCATATGTGAGCATGTTAAAGCAGTGAATGCAATTTATCCATCAAGATGAAAATAGCAACATCCACCATTCTGATTGGCATTCTTCATGCTGTAGGGACTAAGGTGGGCACTAACAAAGAGTCAGTTATGGTGTTACATCTTGGGCTGCATGTAAAAGTGGTCACATTAATTTTCTGCTAGCTGACACTGTTTTGCCACTATCTTCTCTTTCTATTAGTGCAGCACGTTTTTGTTTAAAATATTTAATTAGCGTTAATGCTAAATTGCTTGGGGTTTCCCATCGCTGGATCTTTTCCCTTGTTTCCTTTGTTTGAACAATAACAGAACCTTGCTGGAAACATGGACTTTTCCATGACAAGTTTGAATGCAATGAAACATTGTTAGACAGCATGAAAGAACAGCTAGTACAATCGTAAATTGATTCCATCTGTGTTGACATTGGCCATAGACAGCGGCTCAACCCAAGCCCTATAGTTACCATTGCTGTAAAGGTATCTGACTCAGACATGAGCCATTTGTGTTTCATTTCCCTCATTCCGTGCTTTCTGTTTTCCTTCCACCTAGGAGAAAACAAGGAGAGACTGACTTAAAATATTGCCTTACAAATCCTTCATGATATGGCTTTCCTGGTTCAGAAGTCGACACTGGCTTCATATCATAGCTTTACAAAATGTGTGTTGGGTCATAGTATGAAGAATCATTTCTCAAAAATATTAGAAGAGAACTAGGAGGGGTCAAATTCAAGCCCAATGTCCTCTGTTACACAGAGTAACAGAGTTATTGTAAGGAGAATTGGGGCGATAATCAACTACTGTACACTGAGTGGCCAGATTATTATGACCACCACATCAGTACTTCGTTGGGCCACGAGATGACTCCACAAGATGACTTAGTTGGGCCGCCTCGTGACTCCACGAGATGTTGAAAGGTGATGCGAGGAATCTGACACTGCACTGTTGCCCTTCTGTTGTCTTGTACCAGTCTTGCCACTCTCCGTTCTGCCCTAACATTGACTAGTCGCTGACGGCCACAATTTGCACGTTCAGACCCAGATTTTCGGCTGACAGTCCAGTCTTTAAACACTTTAACAACAGCTGCTCTTGAACATTTAACGAATTCTACTGTTTTGCTGATACTCGCTCCATGGCTCCGAGCGCCAACAATCATCCCACGTTCAAAGGCTGTTAAATCGCGTTGTTTCCCCGTATCTTCAGAAAAAAATCACTTCTACTGTCGTGGTAAACAACCTGATTCCCTATTTATAATGGTCTGGCCCTCTAGCAACTTCAGCGCAAAATTATAGCTAATTATAGCTAATTTGCCTACAAATGTCAGGTGGTCATAATAGACTGGCCACTCAGTGTATATAGAGATGAGTCAATCAACTCATAATACATGATAAGTCTGCCACATTGACCAACTCTAGATACATAAGGTTTATTGGTCAGATAGTTGTGTAAACAGAGACAGAATATGTTGTAGGTCTACACAGCAACATAACTATATAAATGTAGATTCCACCCCATCCAGTGAACTGAAAGGATCACTGCAAGGTTTATTTATTTATTTTACTATGCCTGGAGTTCTTCTTTAATACTTTTGCCTAAGAGTTGCCACCATAATCTTCCTGCATCATTTAAATTTGAATGTAACCGAGTTGGAAAACCTTAGCTTTGCTGCAACTCTGAGCTCTGGCATGCACAAGTCTCCCCTCTGCTAGCCTCGATGACCAATATAGTCGGCCCCCTGCGATACCCTATGGCACAATGCAATGATAGCACTTCATCGTGTCTTTGTATTGGCTGCAAAGGCCATCAAGGAGTGGGGCTGTAGTTCAGTTCCAAGTCAAAGGGATGAGTCCAGATGAGTGCATCTAGGTTCAGGGGCTACTGTATAGGCCTGAAAGTTTCCATGCCTTTCTCTGTTGTTTATGAATACACTATAGACTTACATGGCTTGTTTAACAACTATTACTTTAATTTTTTAGCCTCCAGACAACGGACCTCCGCCATTACCGACATCATCCCTTCCAGAGGGGTATTATGAAGAAGCTGTACCTCTCGGCCCCGGAAAAGCTCCAGAGTACATCACCTCCAGTGAGTCATCAGTTCCATTATAAGTGGGTTAAAACTACAATAGACATATTACTTGGTGTGGAGACCAATTTGCTTCCTTAACCTCTAACATGCCAATCAACTTTCAACAGTATAGTGCAGTTAGGCCAGGATAAGATGAAATCTGATTTGATGATATAGTTTTTACTTTAGACAAATTATATGTTGGTTTTTATTGCAGTATTATGTCCTAACTTCCAGTTTTCATGCCTGAGTATGACCTGTAATTGCCACTATTCTAATGGGGGTGTTTAAAAAGAGATGTATTTCCTTCCTCGCCTGGCTGTAGCTCTTCTTCTCTGTCTAACTCACCAATACAGGGCCAGCATTTAAGCAGCCCACGTTTGCCTCCCAAATTGCAGTTAGAGCCCACAGAAGTGAATACCTTGCTCTGCGGTTTCAATGACCATGGTGTCATGAATTATGTTTACACCAGAGTAAACATCAATGCAGTTTGACACATGAACATTTCTGATGTTTATATAGACACGTGGTAAATACTCCTTTTCAGACGACTTGAATATAAAAATACCAACATACCAAATACAAGGGTCATTCTGACTTGTAGATGAAGTGTTAATTGGTGGGCTCTGCTTCGATCTGCTTTTACAGGCCAGGTTTACTCAAGACAAATCAGTTGTTCATGCATGATTACTGACACGTTGAATTATATGCCAGCTAATAGTGCTCTATGGGTCTGTAGTTGTAAAATATCCTCCTCAGAATTCCCTATTTTATGCAACTGCCACATCCATAAGAAAGCAAAATGATGGTGTCACACTCCATCAATGACTGTTTTTAACAAATAGTTGGAGAATCCAGTTACAAGAGAGTGGCCTAGCTTCAGGGTAAATAGATATGAGGCTTGTGGATGATAATTCCACCTATTGGTGTCCATCAGATGCTGCAAGACATGCTCCATTTCAAATTGAAAATTAAAACTTGAGATGCATACAGGGAGCAAAGACTACCTTCTCAATACTCCAGGCAATGGTGTCCTCCACCAACCCAAACCAACCATAAGTGCCAGTAATCTGGTGATCCTGGAACATTCAGGCTTCATGGTGTCTTTCACCCACCCAAACCACCTATATTTGCCAGTAATCTGGTGATCCCGGAACATTCATGCTTCTTCCTGCCTTATCCAAGGTGTATAATGAAAAAAAAAAAAAGGTGTGGATGTGATTAGAGGTATGGATGTGATTATTGAAGCAGCAACTAGTGAGAAGAAGTGACACTCCAATCACCCCCCACTGATCTTTTATTTAGCAACTGGAGCTTTAGCAAACAGAGCTAATTTAAGGGACCTTTCAGACATTAGCACAGCTGCAACATTTTATGGTCAGAATTAGAAGCTCGCTGACTGATATCTTTTGTTGCCTGGTATTGTGCAGAGTTGACCATGAATTCCTGAGGCAGGGTGTCACCTGGAATGTGGTTGTACACTATCAGTGGCATACATCGCACACGTTGGGAAATGCTACTTTACTGTAGCTAATGATTTGACTGGACTGTCATTAGAAGTGACGTTTAGGTAACAGTCATGTTCATTTATAACATTTTTAAATAAATTAGAATATTAATAATGCTCTGTAGTTTGAAAGAAACTTATGTGGAATAACTGTTTTTTTTCCTTCACTAAAAACTATGAACTACTCCATAAATACCATGGTGTTTAGGGAGTCATGTCAATTAACGCTTTATTACAGAAGCACATAGCTGAAATCTGGCCACAGTTGCGATATAAACAATTTTAATACCTCTTGTCAGGTCATTAATCTCCTTACTAATGAGGAACATGGTGCTTTTACTGCACAATGTATCTGTCTGTCCACATTACCATGTCTCCAAAATGGAGCAGCTGATTAAGCGTAACTCCAGACCCAATTTTTAGTCTTGGATAGAGTAGGGAAAAGTTAGAACCTCTACCATTTTGTATTGCTGCCTGGGCTACCATTTGAAAAGGAATCCTGTGAACACGGCTACAGACAACAGTTGAAACATGCCACAGGTTCTGACCCTTGCAGGTTATGTTTAAAGCATACCAGTCAGCTTCCCTTTTTATATTTTACCCTAAATTGTGTGAATGAAAGGGACAAACTGATTAGTTGCTATGGGGGCTACATAAACTATTCTTTTAAAGATCTTTTCACAAGAATGTTTTTACTTTTTGAATAAGTCAATGCATAGTAAATGTACAGTAGGATAGTCACAAGTTAGCCTAACACTGGCCACATACATATGACTGTTTTTTTTTTTTTGATTGTTTGATTGATTTAGCTAGTAGTAGTTGGCCACATTCAACTGTACATATTCTGTAATGTTTAAGATGTTTCGTAACTTCAAGCCACTTCTTCAGTTCCAATGAGGGTAAAGCTGGCCATATACTAGTAGATTTCAGAACTTACTTTTGTATGAAAGATCTTACTTTACCACCTGATATTGCCATCAGACACTTGATGAATGTCCAGAATCGAACTTAAATTTCGATGAAGTTCGATTTTGGAATGAATGGAGTTTCCCAAACGAAAACTACATTCACTGTTAGAATGTTGTTCGATTTGACCCCATCAACTAATAGGAAGTGGAAAGAAAGGTCTTTTGTACAAAAGTTCTTTCGAAAATCGAAGCAGTGTATAGCCAGCTTAAGAAAAATACCCCAGCATTTATATCCACACAAGTAGCACAGACACGCTCCTCTAAACACCATGGAATGTGGAGATGTTAATTGTCCAAAAGCAGGGTGGGGGTGTGAAAGATGTGGTAAAACCCTGCCTTAGTTACATAATCCCATCATCAGTGTCAGGAAGTCTGCATAGGTGTTGAGCCTTCGATTTTACATGGTTAAAAAGTGTGAATTGATATCAAATTACTGGAGTAGAGATGTTAAAACGACATAGAAGGCCCCTACCCTGCTCAGACATGGTTGTTCAGTTTAGGGCTGCAACAACTAATCGACATAATCGATTATAATCGATTATTGAAAAACATAGATGGGCTCTTTCACGCCTCTTACAATTCAGTCCACTATGTCTAAATTGTGCACCTGCACCTTTGAGTGATTTGTTCCCTAAATTTATGACCCGTTTATGCCATCACTATTCGGATGAACATTTTTTGCCTTGCTTCTTTGATTTTTCTAATCAAAGGTTGCTGACAGAAGGCTGCCAACAGGGCCAGCCACTCAGCAAATTTCAGCTGGTTCATCAAGAGCCAACAGAGATGCGCACAGTGCATGGCCAGCTTAAAGATTCACTTAAGGACTGGAATCCCTTGTCACTTGAATCTGTGCTGTGTAACATCAGTTTCTGCAAATTCTAAAGGGTTTTGTCATTAAAAAAAAGAAGGAATTTAGCATTTGGGCCATGTTGGTTTTGGCTTTGTTTAGAAAATAAAGACACCAAGAACTGCTGGAGTTGGCTGACAAGGCAGGGAAGATGAAAATGACATTGAAGGTCCATTCACACTAGCAGAGTTGGTCTGCATTGACCCACATTGCCCAGCACACTCCCAATGCAAGGACTAGGTAATTCACCTTATGTCCTTTTGAATTAGTTTACACCAACCTGCTGTGGATGTTAAAAAATCCCCTAAACACTGCAATGTGTGTTACCAATGCATTGCAGTGTGTGTTAAATCTAAGCCTGATGAAGGGGACCCTGCGAGGCCCCAAAAGCGCTTGCCAATGAGATACAGCTATTGGCAATAAAATATTTTGCTTTTTCAACTTATGGTGTGCTGGTGACATTTTTCTATTAAAACACACACCAACGCACTGCAGCGTAAATGGACCCTGAGATGGATATTGGAGCTACTTGTCAGGTAGACCGAGTCAGTATATATAGAGTGTGTGTGTGTGTGTGTGTGTATATATATATATAATGGGTTGCAACAACGAATCTATAATGAGAATCATTGGCAACGATTCTCATCATCAATTAGTTGCTTTTCAATTAGTTGCAGCCGCCGCTCTGCTCCTCAGCTCTCCTCCCCGCTGGTGCTGGCTGCATCGGTCTGTGTCCTTTTCAATTCCTGCTGCTCTCCCCGCCTGTGTCGGCCGAGGCAGCGGGGACACAGACCATTGCAGCAGGAGCCAGCACGGAGGAGAGACCGCTGTGACTCTGCAATGCCCCGCTGCCCCCGTACCTCTGCAGCTGCTCCGTGTCTCCTCCCCTGCCCCATTCCCCCTCTGCCCTGTTTCACCTCACCCCAGCAATCATGCTGCACCCCCCGCATCACCTTAGCCCCGCCCAGTGCCACTTTAGCCCCACCCATAGTGCCTCTGCTGCAGCTTGAGGCTGGGAGCCATACCCAGCCTGCTATTGGATATTTTAAAATGCAATAGCAGACTGCCTATTGCACCCACCCACTGCCTGCTGTCAATCAGCAGAGGAGGACCTGATGAAGAACTTTCTCCTTCATGTCCCTCCTCTGCTGATTGACAGCAGGCAGTGTACGGTTGCAATAGCCTGCTTACTATTGGCTATTGCACTTTGAACTATCCAATAGCAGGCTGGCTATAGCTCCCAGCAATAAAAATAATAAAAAAGTTAAAGTTAAACTAAAATTAAAAAGACTAAAAAATAAAAAAAAGTTAAACAAATAAAAATGAAATTGCAAACAAATAAAAAAACATAAAATAAACTAAAATGAAAAATAGAAAAAAAAAACATGTTTTGGTGTGTTATTTTAATCCAACATTTATTACACCCCACTCACTTCCCCCCTAAGAACTTTCTCTTGCTTTAAGTGGTAAACTATCAGGTTGATTAGTTAGTATTGCTTCTGACCTGAAGAAGAAAGGTTAACTCTCGAAAGCTTGTCTTTCAAATATTATGTTAGTCCAATTAGAAAGGTATTATTGTGTGTGTGTGTGTGTATGTATGTATATATGTATGTATGTATGTATGTGTGTGTAATATATATATATATAGTATGTTTTTGCTTGACTAGAGTATTTCTTTAATATTCATCTTTGAACACAGTATTGCAAAAAGAACATTGGGGAAGAAAAAAAAGTAGGCAATGCTGGCAGCTATAGAGCCCCTTTGACCTTAGTTCTTGACAGCATTAATGCAATCCAGGACCGGAGTGGCTATTCTCTCCTCCCTGTGATGTTTTTGGCGTCTCTCCTTCTAATCCTCTGGGGGCTTTGCAGAAAGATTGCACAGCTTGTTCTACCACAGTGAAGCCTGGCCTTTCCTCCTGGCCAGAATACCACACTGATAAAAATGGATGACTTTGTTGTTATTGTTGATGCCGCTACAAAACAATCCAACCTCGAAGAAAGGAGAAAATGTATAGACCGTCGGGGGGGAAACAGGACACGATTAGATTTTGCGGTTTATTTTTCGGCGTGAGCCAAAGGATTGGGTCATTCTTCTAGAAAGCAAACAGAGAAATATACGAGTGCTTTCTCTCCACAGGCCTAGAACATTATTCACAGTTTGGTACCAGCATGGATGGTGCGTTTGATGTGTAATGTTTGTTATAGGACAGAGCTGGATGTCTTCCATCTAGTGATATTGCTTGTTAGATCAACATAAAGATGATTTATTTGTCCAAGGAGCCAAGACTTTCAGCTGAGGGCTTGGCCCCGGCTTTAGGCCTCGTTTGTATTAAAGGCTAAAAAAGGATGAATCCAAAGGAAGGTAAAAACACTCTTTAAAGAGGACATGTGCTTTCCCATTCAGGGCAAAACAAAAGGTTTATCCAGAAGGGACTCTGCCACCATGTGGTATTAAAGTAAAAATGTTTTTAAGCTATTTCAAATGCAGAATAAATCACTTACAATTGATGCTGCTCCTTGATGTTTAAAAGTTTTAGTTTCCTGCCGAATCAGCTGATCTCCTGAACACTGGCCCTAATATCCTGTTTTAGGATGGCTCCTTTCCCTTGCAGCTTCCTATGGAGCCACCCTTGTGTGTGCTAGTAAGCTGTGTATGTCTCCAGGCAAAACAGAGCAAGCCACTGTCCTTCACTTTCCTCCTTCCTCATTTCTCCCTTCCACCCTCTCCAAGCTAGTAGATGGGCAGTTGCAGTAGGCTGTGATGTCCCTTGTGATCTTGTACGAAACAAGAAGTTCAGGGAAGCAGAGCTGAGAGAGTTGGAGACAGTTTTTGAAAAAGATGATGACTGTAATTGCTTGGGCAAAAAGGCAAATAAATCCTTTGCTGGTCAATGTATATTTCTTTGATCTGGATTTATTATTGAAAAAAGTTTGACAGTTTAATACTGCTTGAACTGAAAGAAAAATACCTTTGCAGTGGTGCTCCCCCCAAATTGCAAAGGTTAATTGCTCCATTTTCAAGGGTGCCAGTAACAAGAACGTTTATTTTAAAGATAACTATGGGGTAAGTGTTTTTCCCCATAGTTCTCTTAAGGGTCACGGGAGGACATATACTAGCGTCCTCCCGTCACCCAAAGCTCAGTATTTTGCGAGCTACAGCTTGCCATATACTGAGACGCCGAAGCCGGGGCGGAACCTGACAATGCTGTCGAGATCCACCCAGCTGTGTGAGTGACAGCTGGCTCTGCCTATCTAGAGACAGAGCCAGCTGTACCCGCCGCCTCCCCCTTCCGTTCCTCCAGTGAGCGCTGGAGGATCGGAGAAGGGAGGGGGAGGAATCCCTGCGGGGAGCCGTGACAGCCGCCTCTCTCTGCAGGGAGATGATCGGGAAGTGAGCGAGCGCCGGTATGCCTTCGCTCGCTTCCCGATCTATTGAGCCGACGTGTGACAGTTTCATTTTCACACGTGGCTCGAACTATGAGGATGCGTGATTTTCACTCACCTCCTAGTTCTCCTTTTAACCCCTCACTCCTTTAATCCCTTCCCTGAAGCCTCTTCCCTTTTACACTCCAGTCAGAGTTTGCAGCTACGTACAATGCAGAACCAACCGTGAACCAACCTCACTCTCTAGAAAAGATAAACTTGTTGGAAAATCTTCTGCATCCAACATTTCTGGGTGTTGCCTGGTCCCCCTCCCTGCTCTGTAGATCCATCCACTGGCCTTACGTTACTGCACGACACATTAGTGCCAGCAGATTGAACCACAGCGCTCGGTGGGGGGCCAGTCATTTGACAATCTGTAAAGATTGTTCAACAAGCGTAGCTCCTCAAGAAAGTGAAGATCAGCAAGGCAGGCTGCAGGAGAGGTGAGTCTTAAGTCTTTTCTATAGAGGGACCAGTACATAGGACTTTTGGCCGATAAAGTAAGTTCAAAGTCAACTTGGTTGGCATTTACATAAAAATAAGGTCCCCAGCCACATGTGACAGTATTGGTGGCTGGTGATTGGTCATTTAGGCACCCTGCTACATTATGACCAGAAGGCGAGTGAATTACTTGTGTAGTTGCTTCACTCACCAGCTAAATTCCTGCAGTTCTTGGTGTTAGGCTGGATTCACACCAGATGCATTGGGGCTGTGCTGGCCACATTTTCCAGCGCAGCCCCAGCACTAGACAAGGCAATATGCCTTGTCTTCAATGGGCTTATATATTAACTTTTTATATATATATTTTTTTGGGGGTGGTGTTAAATCGGGAGGGAGAAGTTGTGCAGAATCATGCGACAAGGAGCTGCAGTTCCTAAAAGGTAATGTACATCTGAAAGCATTGAGAGGAAAAAAACATTCCTCTTTAAAACCACTTTTCCTCCTCATCAGGTCAAAAATGAGCTGATTTGATACAATTGCTTCTCGGCAATGGCAGACAATTGGAGTTGAAAGGACAACTCGCATGGCAGACAATACCTACTGGTATAACAAATTAAGTTTAGTAGATCAATCCTCCTCTGGTGTTCTAGATGGGGTGCTTACATTTCTTGGCTACTGAACTGTAAAAGGAGGCTGTAGAAGACATATTTGTTAAAGCGTTACCTCAGCCAAAACCTCTCTGCAGCATTAAATGTGTTCCACATCTTGTATTTCATATTGGCTTCTTCTTCATCTCTTTAAAGACTATGATTCAGACGCTATGAGCAGTTCGTATGAATCTTATGATGAGGAGGAGGAAGATGGAAAGGGGCAGAAGAAGAGGCTTCAGTGGCCGTCAGAGGAAGCGTCAATGGACTTGGTGAAAGATGCGAAAATCTGTGCATTCCTCCTGCGGAAGAAGAGATTCGGGCAGTGGACCAAGCTGCTGTGTGTCATCAAAGACAACAAACTGATGGTAAACAAGCTTCACTTCTATTATTATTATTATACAGGATTTATATAGCACCAACAGTTTGCGCAGCGCTTTACAATATAGTGAAGAGATTACAATTACAATACAATTCAAGACAAGATGGTAAGGAGGACCCTCCCTGGGAGAGCTTATAATAATCGCATATTGATTCTTGTTACATAAAATATTATATTGCATAACTTTTACGTTAAGAACTCTGGGTAAATAAAATTGCTACCCTTGCACTGCAAGGGTTAAGTACTCGTTTTTTCTAGGGAGCTAAAATAACAGAGATATACTTACCAGAACCGTGATCCCAGCTGGCTCCTAGACCAGTCCCTCCCTCTGGGAGCCATGCCTGTGTCTGTCAATCTTGCAATGCCTCATATGACTTGTAGTTCCACAACAGCTGGAGTTCCAAGGTTGCCTACTACTGGTCTACTGCTTCCTCACAGAGAGCGAGGGTCCTTCTCTACATCATTCTGGCCGGGGGGAAAGGTTTGTCTGCCCAAGCCATGGTTGTTTTATGAAGAAATCTAACTGTAAGACTTTGCACAACTTTTGTTTTGGTGCACCTGGAATGCATTTATTTATTTTAAACTGAAAGTTAAGTTAGGCTGTAATGTTCACAAGTTCATAAACTTTTTTATAAAAAATGTTTTAATTACTTGTACAGTCTATGTAGAGCCAAAACATTTTTTGGATAGAGTATATTTTTTTTGTTTTGCTTTATGTCCATGCTGCAGAGATTCACCCTTTCTATCCATTATGGTGACCATTATCCGTGGGGAAAGAATTGGCAGAAAAAAATATAAAACATTTTTATTTTCCCCAGAACAGGAATAAAGGGGAAATGTTCCACTGGGAGATTGCCCTAACTATGGTGAGATTTCGTCTCAATGCCTGTTGTGTCTACAGGACAGGAAGTGAAGGCGAACCCCCCAAATTGAACATAGCCAGGAAAAGAACTGACAGGAGGTTTAACCTTTCCCTACTCTAAAAAAAAAAAAAAAATAAGTTTAGACTTTAGATGTTCTTAAAAATCTGGGTATTAATGTGCAAATTAAACGAGTAGTAATATTGTTAATGAATGTCATTGCCGTGATGGTGTAGCTTTTTTTATTGGCTGTAAGGGAGACCTCCTCTTCATGTAGGCTTTGAAAGAGACCTACTGTAGGCTGCAGTATACCTACCTGGGGATAACTGTTCTTAGGATGGTGTTATTATATATTGGAGGACGAGGAGGGATTTGAGAAGTGAAGTAGGTGAACACAGCTGCTATATTTTGTGATAATTGTGATGATATATGTAGGAATATATGTGTGTACAGGGACGTCCCTTTATTGAGGCAGCCTAACACATGGGACACGTTGGAGGGGGCAGCAGACAGAGTGGCATGGCTGCTCTGTTTCACAATGTTTGCAATGTACCTGCCACCTCCTTTCTGGCCAGAGTGTCCCAGGTTGGTAAGAGCCTAGTGGAAAGATGTGTAAGGGCCATGCACAGAATATTACTGGATATTGAGTACTTATAGGTATATTGAGCATCAGAGATTGTTGATCCAGGGAATATCCGATTGCCTTATGGGATCAGGAAGGAATTTTTCCCCCCGTTGGAGCAAATTGAACCATGCTTTATAGGTGTTTTTTTGCCTTCCTCTGGGTAATTGTGGGCATAGCGTTCTGTTTAGGCTTTTTTTTTAGTGTGTGTGGGTCAACCATTTCTCCTAGTTAGTTATCCTGTACTCTTCCCATTAGCATTACTGGTTCTCCATCTGCTTTCCTGATTGCTTTCTATATTGATATCTGTAACATTGTTTTTCCCAGTGCTACAAATCTTCCAAGGACCAGCAACCTCAGATGGAGCTGTTGTTGAATGGCTGCTCGGTGTCCTATGTGCCAAAGGACAGTAAGAAGAAGAAGCACGAGCTGAAGATCACCCATCAGGGGACGGATGCCTTGGTTCTTGCCGTCCAGAGCGAGGAACAAGCTGAACAATGGCTGAGGGTAGGTGGAGTTCACATGTTTGTCTTATGGGCTTTGATTCATGTATTGTGCATAGAGTGCCTGTATTGCTTACCATATACAATCTATGAGGCCTGTTCTAATAAGCTGGCCATACACTGGTAGATTTTCATACAAACGTTCATACGAAAAATCTCATCAGAATATTCAATAATTCCATCAGAGACTTGTAGAATGTTTTACATTTTCATTTGATTTGACCATGAATGGATTTTCCTGAATGAAACTCACATTCACTGTTCTTTCATTCTAGAAAGATTTTCCATCCTGCTGCTTTAGGTTTTTTTTTTTTTTTATCACTATGGTCGAAATCGATAGTCAATTTGACCCCATTAACTATTAGAAAATCAAAGAACTGTTCCAAAAATGTTTTTCTTGGGAATTAATTTCTACTGGTGTTTGGCCAGTTTTAATTCTGACTTACTCATGGACATTGTAGCATTGATTATTTACACATTATATATTGATTTTTGATTAATTTATATAAATACGTTAGTATGTAAATGTCATTAATATACTGGTAAGGCATTGTGGGTATAGGGTTACTCTTCCTGTTGCAGTCACTGGGTTTCACTAATAATTAGGGATGCACTGATACCGTTTTTTCGGTATCGAGTACGAGTACCGATATTTTGCCTTCGGTGGAGCCAGCAGGTAATGACATGCTGCCCATCTTCCTGATTACCTGGGAAGCCAGCTCCATGTTGTTTGGCCAGCTCAATTGTGATTGGTCGGGAAACTATTTTCTCAGCCAATCGGCAAGGAGTCGGCTGTTTGGCCGGCTTGATTCTGATTGGCGGGGAGGCTGGCTTCCCAGCCAATCAGCATGGTGCCGGCTTCCCAGCCAATCAGGAAGCTGGGAGGCGAGTCATTACACGCCACCCAGCTTCCTGATTGCCCCAGAAGCCAACTCCATGTTCTTCTATGGACCTGCCCCGGTATCGAGGAAGGTATCGGAACATTAGGGCGAGTACGATTACTTGCGCAAATAATCGGAATCGGCACTGAATCTGATACTAGTATCGGTGCATCCCTACTAATAATAGCAAAAATGATTGCCTTGCTTCCATGGCCAGCACATTCATTTTTGCAAAGGATCATATGATAATTATGTAAAAAACTTCCATAATAATCCCATGCTGTCTGCAGAAACTAGAGGAGGGGGTGGAGACTAGACCAGTCGCCCTGCACAAAGAAAGACAGCAACGGTGACTGGTCTCTATTATAGGAAGTTCCAGGCGAGGATTCTGACTTACTTATAGCATTCATCATTGATTATATACAGTACACATAGGAAGTTCTATTATAGGAAGTTCCAGGCAAAGTTTCATGCTGGATTACTGCACTGATCTGGAAGAAATGCACAGAGCACACCAAGATTCAAGGACAAATACACATGCCTCTGGTATATAGACAATATTTGCTTTTGTCGGAGTCCGGCTTTAAAACCGACCATGCATAAGCCGAATTGTGACGGGTCCTGTTTAAATGAAGCTCAGTCGTTTAATCTGGATTTTTTAAAATACCGTATATACTCGAGTATAAGCCGAGATTTTCAGCCCATTTTTTTGGCTGAAAAGTGCCCCCCTCGGCTTATACTCGAGTCAGCGTCAGGTGTCTTCTTACTTACCTCGCCGAGCGTCGCGTCACTGCTGCTCCGGTGGGCGGCGCTCCGAGCGGGGTCATCTGGCAGTCTCCGGGTCCTAATTTAGGTGGCCGGAGACTGCCAGATGACCCCGCTCGGAGCGCCGCCCACCGGAGCAGCAGTGACGCGACGCTCGGCGAGGTAAGTAAGAAGAAAAGAAAAAAAATCCCGCAGCGCCAGTACAGCAGGGGAGCAGGGATGTGTCAGCGGCGCGCTGGTCAGACGAGAGGAGCTCCAGGTGGGGTTGTAATTATCGGGCAGGCACCTCTAAGTCAGCTAAATTAGGACCCCACCTGGAGCTCCTCCCACTGGACCAGCGCGCCGCTGACTCGTCCCTGCTCCGGCACAGTGAATCACAGTAAGTGAGGGGAGATTTGGGGGGATTTATTAACCAATTATGTATTGTCTGCACTGTATTAGCAGTATATACTCTATATGGAGTATATACTGCTAATACAGTGCAGACAATACATTTACAATTATACTAACATGAATGGATTAAATGATCTGTATGTAGCCCTGTACTAGGGATCATTTAACCCATTCATGTTAGCAGAGGATCATTGTAAATGTATTGTTGCAGGCACTCTATATGTACATGTACTATATACTACATATAGAATGCACTGAACAATAGATTTACAATTATCCTCTGCTAATATGAATGGGTTAAATGATCCGTAGTACATAATATGTAGCCCTGTACCCCCTTTTCCACTTACAGAGCTAGGTTATTGTTTTTCTTTTAAATAAATATTCATGTAATTTTATTGGTATCTATCTACCAGTAGCTGCCTCATTTCCCACCCTCGGCTTATATTCGGGTCAATACTTTTTCCCAGTTTTTTGTGGTAAAATTAGGTACCTCGGCTTATATTCGGGACGGCTTATACTCGAGTATATACGGTATATATATTCAATAAAATGTGACCTTAAAAACTTTACTGTCTTACGGCGCCCCATCAGCTCCTTTATTGTGTCAGCTTGTACCCAGAATGACCCATGGAAAATAGATCTGTTCTTTTCTTACACATTGGAACTCTTCACAACTCTTTCCCATATGTTTGAATGTCTCATGCTGAAACTTGTCAGATTGGGGAAAGGAAGGAGGGGGGTTATAAGCTTTGTGTCATTTTAACGTGACTGCTTAGAACTTTCCTCTGATGAATGAGGGTTTCTCTCTGCTCCTTCCACTGTCATCATATTTTATACCTCTCAGACTCATGTTACATTCAGGAATGTACTGAATATAAAACAAGATTTTTTTAAAATTGATTAAAGGAAAATGGAAAGTTTTAAAGAGGAACACCAGGAATCTAAAAAAGGGTTAACTACTGTTTTTTCCTGGGCAGTTTATGGCCCACTGACCGTATACACCCTTTGTCGGTCACTGTCTGGCCCGTGGTCCGGGCATGGACCTACCACCAACCTGCGCTCAGTTATGGCTGGCTGACAGTGGAAGCGCTGGCCTCCAAGGCTGGTGTATCCATTGCAAGCCACAGCCCAGCGCAGGCTGGCGAGAAGTCCTTGTCCGGACCACAGTCCTCTTCAGGCCTTGGCTGCTTGGGCCACTGGCATCAGGGGTCCTCCTCCTCTGCAGCAACCAACGACATCAGGGGTCCTCCTCCCCTGCAATCATTGATTGCTAGGACCGCTGGGCAGTCCTAGCAATGGGTTCGCGCCCCCAGTATTACAGGGTTAAGGAAGAGTATCTTCCTCCGTCCTCTCCTGAAGCTCCACCTCCCAGCTCTTGCCTCTGACCTATTGACAAAAAACAACAGAAGGCATGTGCCACATACTGTGGGGACATTCAGGGCCCGTGCACACATACTGTATGCTGTGTGTTAATCACACGATTAATGCACAATACCGCACAACATCCCTGCCATGTGTTACAGTGCGCCAGGTGCATTGCATGCGCTACATTCTTCAACCCCAAAACAACGCACGGGTGGTGCATTTGGGAAGCTATTCAAATGCATGACAATGCAACACCACTGCTGCACAGCAAAGAACTGTAACTGCTGCACGACATAGGGGTGAACGGGCCCTCACACCTACAATGCCTATAGGTCCTGCCCTCCACAACAGTCCCAGTTTCTCATGTGGCCCCTTGAAAAAATGAATTGCCCACGCCTGGTCTAGGGGCTGGATTAAAGAAGATATACTCACCTGATCCTCAGTCCTTCCTGGCTGCTAGACCAGTCCCTGCAGCCTATTCTCCCCTGGGCTCTCGTGGTCTAAGTCCCGCTGATGTCATCACGTCTAATGCAGGTCCATTCACCTGGATTAGGTGTGAAGACATAGCACAGCCGGCGTGGAGGGGGGTGAGGTGAGCGCTGCCACTGGACCAAGGATCAGGTAACTATATCTCCTGTATTGTGGCCCCTAGACCAAAACCAGCAGTTAACCCTTGCAGTGTGGGGGGTAGTCCCACTGCAAGGGTTAATTTTGTTGAGAGCTGGAGTTAAACTCGCATACTGTTCCAGTACCGGTTACCAGCACTCCACCGAGTACAGTTGCTGTAGGTCATTAGGGACATTGTCAGCTCCTCTTTAGTCACATGACTGAATGACTGAACTCTATAAGAGCTTAGAATGTTCCAGCTTTATAGAAATGAGAAATACTATAAGAACAATTGACACTTAATAGACAGTGGGGGAATATTTATAAAGCAGATGTATCTTCCTGGTCCATGTCTTCTAAATTGCAGTGATTGGTTGACCTCTAGTGAAAATTTAGTGAATGTCACATATGTCCCTACAGGAAGCAGGGCCGTAGCTACCATGAGGCGAGTGAGGCACTCGCCTCAGGCGCAGCTGGGAGGGGGCGCAACCAGGACCGGCCTGGCTGCGCCCCTTCACTCCTGTTGCCATGGCGAGCACAGGGCACCAAGGTCAACAGTGGCCAGGCGGCCAACACAGCCGCGGCTTGGGAGGAGGGGAGGTACAGGCTCCAGCTTCTCCTCTGATCCCTGCTGCTCTCCCCCACCTGTATGGGCAGAGGCAGTACGGATGAGAAAGGGAGCGCTGAGCCAGCATGGGCCGAGCAGTGATGAGAGAGAGAGCCGCTCGCCCAGGATCTGACATCACACGTCTGTCTGGGGGCGGGGCACAATTTTCTGTTCTTGCCTCGGGTGCTACGGCTCTGACAGGAAGTGAGGGGAGATCTGCGGAATGGGGCACAGATTACATTAAACACCTGACAAAGACTCCAACCCTCTTCTGCTCTATCTAAAATGAAATAAAACATTTTGGCTGGAGTCAAGCTCTAAACCTTTCATCTCAGCACTCTTCCCGTTCACCCCAACCTTAGAAACTTGCGGCGAGTGCTTCTG